AGCAGGTTAATCCTGCGGCTGCTGCTTGAAGCCAGCGGGCTGACATCAGAGTTCAGGCTCTTAAGTTCGCCAGGCTGTTGGATGAAAAGTTCCTTTACCTGGAACACAGAACTGGGGTCAGCTTCATGGACTCCGTCGTTTCAAAGGGCGAATGTGACAGTGTAGAGTGTGGGGCTGGGGACAATTTTTCCCCCACAAAAAATGAGCTTCTTCTTGAGACAATGTAACAACAAAGAGCATGCTTTTGGTTACCCCTTTGAAAGAAAGACGTTAGTTATGTTATCCAGTTCTTTGGGCATTGTGACTCTTTTCCTTATACTTTTCTTGTTGTACTCGGCCTTGACTGTGCTTTCCAGACTCTTTCTTTTGGTTGATTGTGCAGTAACTTACAGTGATTGGGCATATTTTATTTCTGCAAATTTTTCATAATGACCGTTATAGCAGTAAATGTTATCTATTGCCGCCCAACAAATTACCCCGAAACTTAGCAGCTTAAAACAACCAACATTTATTATCTCATACCTTTTCTGAGGGTCAGGTGGCTACCAGGATGGTTATAATTTAGAGTCTCATGAACTGTGGGTGGGGTGTCTGTGGAGCTGCCCTCCCCTGAAAGCTTCCCCGGGGCTGACGGGTCCGTGTCCAGGGTGGCTCCCCGGCATGGCTGGTGGCAGGAGGCGCGTCCCCACCGCATGGGCCTCTCTGTACAGCTGCTGGAGTATCCGGGGTGGCTCGCCCGCATGGCTGGTGGCAGGAGGCGCGGTTCCCCACCGCGTGGGCCTCTCTGTATGGCTGTTGGAGCGTCCTTGGGACCTGGCAGCGAGCTTCCCTCCGAGTGAGTGTTTCAAGACAGAGCAAGGCAGAATCCAAAGTGCCTTTTGTGATCTAGTCTCAGAAGTCACACTCTGTTGTTTTCTTCTTCTTTTATTTGTTAGAAGTGAGTCATTTAGTCCAGTCGTTAAGTCCACCACAATGGCCTTTTGGTAGGTTTTTATTTAACTGTGAAAAAAGACCACTTGTGAATAGTAGTTTATATTCCAGCTGTGGTAATATATTACACTACATTGAATTGCACATCACGGGTCCTGGATCGTGAACTTACTTTATCAGTGAATGCCAAATAAATATATGTGGTATTAATGCTTTTATTAATCCAATTTTTAAATGGACTTTGGTGTTCTGGGACCATCTTCACTTTTCAATGTTAGAAGGCCATCTCACACAGAGCCATAGCTTTAAATGTCTCTATGCTGTTGACATAACAGATTTATATCTTCAGTCCCAAATGTTTCCTTTCAGCTTCAGAACCAAATGCCTATCAGACATTCCCTTTGGGTATTCTCAAATGTCTAAAATTGAACCCTTGATCTTGCCTCTTCACTACTTTGAAAATCCACTTGTCCCCATTTCACTTGTTGCTCCTGCCAGAAATGTAGGGATCTTCTTTGACCCCTCACTCCCTCAGCCCACGTCTAGTCCCTGACCAGCCCCTACTGAGTCTGTGAAGTGTGTGTGGAGTCCGTCCCCTGCACCACCACGTCCCTAGTCGTAACCACCGCCGACCCTCCTAAACTCCTGCAGCAGCCCTCTTACTGCTCTGTTTGCTTCCGCTTTTCCCCTCTCAAGCCCATTACATAGAAACCAGATAATCACCTTCCCATTCCGCTTAGATTTAAACCCACAGCTCTTCACACGGTCTTACCGGACCTGGTCCTTGTCTTTTCTCTCTCTTCAACCTCATCTCCCAAAACACCACCCCTTATTCTCAACATTTCGGAAACACTGTTCTTTCTTTGCTCTTCTCTGCTTCAAGATCTTTGCACAGGCTGTGCCTTGTGCCTAGAACTCCCCCCGACCCCGCCTTCTTTGCCAGGCTCACTCTTAGTCTTCAGATCTCAACTTAAACGTCACTTTTCAGCATTGCTTCCCTTCTCCGTCTAGATTAAATTAAGTCATTACCCCACGTCCCTCCAGGGCCCAGTACTTTTCTTTCTTTGCATTTACCTCAAGTAAGTTCATCAGTTACTTATCATGACATATCATTTGTGTTGTTTTGTTTGATGCCTGAATATCTTACTTGTCTTGTTTAGTAATTGTGAACTCCATAAAGGCTGGGTCTTTTTTGCTCTCACCACTTTATTCTCTAATGCAGAATCATGCATATAAAAAGCACTTAATACATATTTAGGAAATCAATTAATATTCAATGGCAAGAACACTGTTTACACAGGACTTCGGGGTTGGAAGGAAGCTGGTGAATCATTTAATCAGTCTGGGCTCATTTCCATCATACCTGTCATGTCCGTGACAAAGGTGCGTTCGTTCACACTTTGTTCGTTTGATACCCTGTGAGCAAAGACCTCTGGTTCTTTCAGATGTATCTCCAGTGTAGGCATTTCTCTATCCTCTGCATTCCTGTCATTCTTTTCTATCATGTTTAAGAGGCCTGAGCAGGGGGAATCAAGTCAGATGGTTACTCTTTGATTATAGCAGTGTGCCTCTATCAATGTTTGATAAAATTGCCTTCATGCCTAGCAATTGTCATAAGCGCTGATGCGCATTGCACTTGTGGTCAGCTAAAACCTAACATTTTTCTTTTAAAGATTAGGGGTTTCCATTGTTAGGTTACAAATGAGGCACTTGAAGCCGTTTTACCTTTAGCCTTTCCTTGGCTGGTAGCTGTCCTCCATACAAGTTACCGTAGGTGTTTTAGTCTATAAAAATTTCTCTCAGATGGGATTGTCGTGGATAGCACCTGTTACTTCCTGTGCCAGGTTGGCAAGTGTGTGATAAACATGTATGGGGGGGAACTTTTATTGAGCACTTACTATGTCCAGACTCTCCTAAATACTTTATAATGTATAGTTTGCATTATATAGGGTACATAAAGTACCCAGCGGGACCGTGTGGGGTAGCACTTAACACGTGGACTCTGGAATCAAGTCTTCTTGATTAGACTTATAGTTCTACCACTGACCAGCTGTATGATCTTTGATAAATTCTTTAAACTCTGCTTGCCTCGGTTTCCTGATCTGTAAAATTAAAATAATTGTACCTATCTTATAGGGTGGTTGTGATGATTAGATAAATTAATATATTCAAAGCATTTATAATGTTGCGGGTACATAGCTAGAGGTGAAGGTGTATCAGCTATTATCTCGGTTAGTTCTCAAAATAATTGTGAGTTAATAATATAATTCCAGTTACAGATGAGGAGACTCATCCAGAGAGGTTAGGTTACTTATGTAAGGCAGATCAGGATTTGAACTTGTGCCCAGGGTAGCAGAGTCACAGATGGTTACGTGGAAGGAATCAGACATATTCTTTTTCCACCAAATGGGACTATGAGTGTGGCAGGTGCTTTGAGAGTAGCATCGACTGCTCTGCAGGGTGCCTTGGTTGTGACTCTGATGAGACAAGACAAAATACTAGCTTTCAATAAATCAGTGAAGAAACGGTGGCTGTACAATGGAACCAGTCACAGCGGTCAGTTTCCTGCCCAAGGCTGTGAGCTCCTTGAAGCAGGAACTGTCATACTCGTATTCGTATTTCTAGCACCTTTCGCTGATGTGTAATATGTACTCAAAAAATGCTATTGGTGAATAAGTGAGTGAATGAATGAATTAGTGAAAAGTCTAGAGAGGGGCGAGAGCTGGTAAGGGAGGCACACATGATGCCATGTTTTTTCGGCCCAGGTGACTGGAGAGATGTGTGACTTTTCTCTGTGACAGCAGGTGGAGGAGGGGGAGGCAGGTCCGGAGGAGTGAGGAGGGGCGTCAGTGAGATGATGTGGACTGGTGGAGTGTAAGCCTGGTGGGGCTGCTGAACACAGGCGGATAGAAACAAGGAGGGAGACCAGGGTCGGAAATAGACTGGGAACTTCTTTAGAATTAGAAGCCTGTAACAGGTATTCCTAGGATCACAGCTGTTTCATTGCAGGAAGTGAGTCTCCCAAGAAATGCGGGTAAGTCACGTTACAGATTTTATTCTGTAATTATTGTAGACTTTGTGTCTTATTCTCTCAGCATTATGTAGATAGGAAGCAATTTAATTTTATAGTAGAGAAGTGAGAAATTGCAGAGATTTTAGAACTAAGCCATATTTAATGTGCATAATACAAATGACATCTCACTGAAAACATCATGTCCTCAATACTATAAGTGCCTTTGGAGAACTTGTTAAAGTGAAAAACTGTTAGCTAGGTAAAGTAGAAAGCTCGGGTTATGTATGGTAGAAATCATGCCAGGGGTAATTGTGTCATAAATGAATAAATGGCAATTTGAAGGGAGGATAAACAGAATTATATTCAGCTTTGTACCGACTAGCCTTTTTTTCTGTTACCTATTTAACTATTTTATAATTGCCACACCTTAACTGGAGAGGGTATGTTTCATGTCATCCATATTAAAAGCTCCATTTTATCCTAATGAAGTCATATTTGCAATATTTTAGGAAAATAATTTTATTTTAGATACAATTCTATTGTTTTTGCTTTAATGATAAAGCACACTGAATTTAAATGTGTGTGATTTTCTAGGTAGGCTTTCTCTTTTATCTATAGAACAAATTATTTATTAAAAAGATGCAAGGTGTTTTTATCACATCTACCAGATATTGAAAGATTGTTGACGAATAGCTTAGCATTTTATATTCAACTTTTCCTGCCTTATTCTTAATATATTTAGAAATTTTCTTGATAGTAACAAAATAACTCAATTATTTTAGAGCAGCCAGAAAAGACTATAGAGATTATTTAGTGTACTTATCTTGTTTTACACGTGGATAATTTAAGGGCGGGAGAGGTGGCAGCTATTCCTGAATTACTTTGAACTTTTGAATTACAGTGCCGTTTTTTGTTTTTTTTTAAACAAAGATGGGTTTAATCTTTAAATATATTTCATTGTTTAAATGTATATTTGGGCATTTGTTTTCCTCAGATTTTGAGAACTTTCCAGAATTCAGTTATGTTCATTACCTTTTTAATATTTTTTGTCTTTCAGGAATCAGGAGAAAGCAGTGGAAGTTGAAGTCATTGTCAAGCGATTGAGACCTTTTACAAGGAAATCTCGTGGAATAAAAGCCATTTAAATTAGTGACATAACAAGACCAGGTATTAAGGTGACAGTGTACAGGAAACGTTAGAATAACAATGACTCAGCTATCTATTTACATCAGATTATTGGGAGCCTATCTGTTCATCATTTCTCATGTTCAAGGTAAATCACTGTTCATTTCAGCAGTCTTATCTTTTCTAGTAGTTTATTTCTGTATATAAAAAAGCACTCATTCTTGCAACTCCTCTTTCGGCTCGTGTCCCTTTTTGAACCACGAGGCCCAGTATGCCCAGCGTAGCTTTTAAGTAAAGAGCCAGAGAACAAACACATGGCAAATAATTTTTGAACTTGATGTGATAGAAACGTTTTCAAGTATTTGTGAAATCTCAGTCTCTGAACCTATTGTCTTATTCATAACACTGGCCTTGTGACGTGCAACATCAGGTCTCGTGAGGGTTAAACGAGATCAAGTATGAAATAGGGTACCTCACCCCAGAGCCTAAGACACGGGGTAATAGGTACTCTAGGTACTCTAGACTGTGTTTTAAAATTTTTCTCCTTTAAAATACTTAAATAAGGAATATATGTAAATAATTTTTAAAAATCATTTTATTGTCCTTAAAAGACTTCAGAAAGATAAATGGCACTTTTGTGTGCTGAGTACTAAAATTTCTTCATAGAGGACTCAAAGTTTTATTTATGACCAAGCTCATAGTTTTACTGTTGTGTGTTCACAGCTGGGAACTCCCAAACAGGAAGTTATTGTGATGACCCTTAGGATCAGATGGGCTGGATTCCTCATAAACTTTCTCCTGTATGGTTTAATTGGGACAATATCTTAAACTGAAGAGAGAGTGGTATTTTGCAAAAGAATTTTAGATAGAATTTATTGGACATCTTCATTCCCTTAAGTTTATGACTTTACAGATTGCTCTCTCATAACGTTTTGTTCACAATGATATGGAGTAATATCTACTAACAAGAGATATGGTTAACAGCATAAATCTTTTGACATTTTTGTTTTAAAGAGTAAACGTAACAGTGAACTCTGTAGCTTCTTTGTGTTTTGTCTTAGGTATAATACCTTTATTATGACCATGCTCAGAGCACAGAGCCCTCCTGCAAAAGCCACTTTTTTAGTGAAACACCACATTATTTAGTAAAACACCTTCCATCTGTTGTTATATGCCTTGTTGATCAGCATCAGCCAAAGCTGTCATAGTTTTGAAGATGAGTTGAATTAGTAGTAACTTTTATATTTGCTACCCACTCCCAGGTAATCGCTATTTAGTATTAATATTTTTAAAAATCTCTATAGATCACACAGAGGCAATGTGATACAAAATTCTCATTCTCCGCCCAGATTCAAATTATTCTATAATAGACTTTTATTAGATGAGATAAATTAGTAGTTAGTTATCAGGCATAAGTGAAAAGTCTTAGTAAGATGTTATATTTCTCTGATAAAGAGCAAAGTTTGTTACATTTCCATTCAAAAAGGATTAGTTTGATAGTTGCTTCAAGTGATAAGATAAAAATATTTGCTGTTGAAGAACTAAAACAATTATAGAAAAAATGTGGTTTCTTAGAGATTGCTAAGAAGGATTGCGGAATAGTGTTAGTGGAAATAACTTTGACTTTAGCTGCAACTTTATCTTGAATTGTGTCTCGGGAATGTAAATTTCTCTGTATCTTGGATTCCTTATTATAAAAGAGAAATAATAACACTTATCCTAGATATAAACAGGAATTTTTTAAGCATCAAATGTTATGATATAGATTTAAGTGCTTTATACTGAGATGAAGCTACTCAAGTTGGAACAGAAGAATGAGTCATCTGATCTTAACATCTGATAGATATTTAGTCTCCGTTTTTGACTTGGTCACAAGGTTTAGAAATAGATTTTTGCTTTAAGTAACTGGTTACCCAACCAACAGTGACTTAAAGATTTATTTTTGACATAGATGGTAGATGTTTGCTGGTGTTCATTCGTTAGTTGAGTCAAGGTTGACATCTCTGTAATTTCCTTGGCTTTTCAATCATAATTACAAAGTGGCTATTATCTGCATGGAGGAAGGAAAGGTGGAGAAGGGGTCAGCACTGGCCTCAACTGGACCTTATATTAAGAAAGCAAAAGTTGGGGGAGTGACTAGGGGAAAGCCCCTACCAAGATGAAAGCTAATTGGGGCAGGGTTGGGGGTGATTCTCATCAAGCTGGCACCGCAGGAAAGCAGATAGCAAGGGCAGAGTGAGAAAACCCTGAGAGCAGGGAGGAGAAAGCGCCCCTCCCACCCCTGCCCAGCACCTGCTGTGGTGCCTGGGATCTCCACGGATCGCAGAGGGCTCAGGATACGCAGCTCTTGACCCTCATCCAGTGGCGATAGGTGGTAACTGTGTCCAAATAATATCACAGTGTGCAAAAACAGAGGCACGCCTTCTAACAGTATCACAAATTATGTTAAATCTCCAGACCAGAGAGGAAATGACAAGTACCCAGAAATCAGTCCTGAAGACAGAAATATGTAATCTAAATGACAGAAAATTCAAAATAGCCATCATCAAAACTCAACAAATTAAAAGAGAATGTAGAGAAACAATTCAATGAGTTCAGGAGCTACTTCACAAAAGAGATTGAAACTATAAAGAAGAAGCAATCAGAAATATTGGAAATGAAAGACACAATCGAAGAGATAAAACAAAATAGGGATTCCCTGAACACTTGAGTGGACATCATAGAGGAGCTTATCAGCATAATTGAAGATAGACATGTTGAAAGGCTCCAGACAGAGGAGGAGAGAGAAGTAAGACTAAAAAGAAATGAAGAAAGTGTCCAAGAAATATCTGACTCAATGAGGAAATGCAACATAAGAATTATCGGTATTCCAGAGGGAGAAGAGAAGGAGAATGGAGCAGAAAGCTGGTTCAAAGAAACAATAGCAGAGAACTTCCCAAACCTGGGGAGGGAGATGGAAATCCATGTGGAAGAGGCTATCAGATCTCCTAAATATGTCAACGTAAAAAGACCTACTGCAAGGCATATAGTAGTGAAACTGGCAAAAGTGAATGACAGCGAAAAAATACTAAGGGCAGCAAGGCCTACAAAGGAACCTAAAAATAACCTACAAAGGAACCCCTATCAGACTTGCGGCAGCTTTCTCTGCAGAAACCTTACAGACTAGGAGAGACTGGAATGACATATTCAAATCTGTGAAGGACAAAAACTTTCAGCCAAGAATAGTCTATCTAGCAACAAAGGAAACAAAAGGAAAAATAAGTGAGGCTTCATCAAACTAAAGAGCTTCTGCCAGGCAAAAGAAACTAGGATCAAAACAACAAGACAACCCACCAATTGGGAAAAAATATTTGCAAATCATATATCTGACAAGGGGTTAATCTCCATAATATACAAAGAACTCACACAACTCAACAACAAAAAAACAAACAACCCCATCAAACACTGGGCAGAGGAGATGAACAGACATTTTTCCAAAGAAGGTACACAGATGGCCAATAAACACATGAAAAGATGTTCACCATCACTAATCATCAGGGAAATGCAAATCAAAACTACACTAAGATACCAGCTAACACCTGTTAAAATGGCTGTAATCTCTAAGATGAAAAATAACAAATGTTGGAGAGGGTGTGGAGAGAAGGGAACCCTCATAATACTGCTGGTGGGAATGCAAACTGGTGCAGCCACTATGGAAAACGGTATGAAGATTCCTCAAAAAACTAAAAATAGGAATAGCATATGATGCAGCTATCCCACTACTGGGTATCTACCCAAACTATTTGAAAGCAAAATCCAAAGTAACATATGCACCCCCATGTTCACTGCAGCACTATTCACAATAGCCAAGACATGGAACAATCCAAGTGCCCATCGACTGATGACTGGATAAAGAAGATGTGGTATATGTGTATATATGATGGAATACTACTCAGCCATAAAAAAAGATGAAATCATCCTATTTGTGACAACGTGGATGGATCTGGAGGGAATTATGCGTAGCAAAATAAGCCAGACTGAGAAAGACAAACACCAGATGATTTCACTCATGTGTGGAAGATAAACAAACACATGGACAAAGAGAACAGTTCAGGGGTTACCAGGGGAAGGGGGGTGGGGGGTGAGCACAGGGGGTTTAAGGGGGGCACTTGTGTGGTGACAGAGAAGAAGTAAAGTACAACTGAAATTTCACAATGATGTAAAACTATTATGAACTCAAAAAATAGATATAAAAATGAAATCATCTGAAAAAAATTTACTGAAGAAACAACTATATGTATATTATTAAAGTTAATTTCACCTGCAAAAGTACCCCTAGAAACTAACTCCCTGCCAGCAAATTATATCTTATTTTATTGGGTAAACAAACAGTTGCTGGGGCCCCTAGGAAACAAGGAGACGGGGATTGTCACAACTGGCTTACATTAATCTAAATCTATTGGTCAGGGCTGGGCACATTTCCCCCCCATACAAAATCAGAGTTTGGTTAGCTAGGAAGATAGGGAAAATAATATCCATTGGGCAACTAAAAGGATCTGGAACAGATTTATGTCTTCTCTCAGTTAAGATGTTTTCAGCTATAAGGGAAAAAAAAATTCAAAATAGCTTAAACAATAAGGAAAATGTAATTTCATGCAACAAGAAGTCTGAAGGTGGGGGGACTCCAGTTAATTAGTTCGTTGGCTCATCAAGTTCTTTCTCTCTTTCAACTGTGCTGTCCTTCACATATCAGTTTAGCCTTAGGTTAACTCACCTCACTGCCACAGTGTGGCTGCTGAGGGGCCAGACATCACAGGCAGATGTGGCAACTTCGAGTTGACAACATTCAGTGGAAGAAGAGAGATGGATGTCTCTCTTGTCTCTCTTTAATTGGTAAAGAAATCTTTCCGCAGCCACGTCCCCTGCCCCTCTTCCCACCAACATACTTCCTTCTAGTTTTATTGGCTAGAATTTATTATAAGCTCTTGTGTAAACAGTGGCAAGGGGAGTGGAACAAAAATTGTTGGATTAGACAAACAGTTGTCTCCACTCAGGGTATGGCTATGCTTCCTTGGATCACATGGAGGAGAGGCAAAGACTTAAAAAATATGTGTGTTGTCAGCAAGGTAAAGGGGAGAACACCATTAACAGTATCTGTTGCAGGGTGCCACAGTTGCCTCCCTGACATCATGCATACCCTTTCTCACATGCATGTACCAAAAGTGCTCCTGTCGATGTGAAATGTTCAGTTCCTCCTCAAAGGGAGACGGAACCCAGAGTTTCATCCACTGAGTGCGTTCAGCCACTAATCCAGGACTTCTGGGTAGCCTGTAGCCTTCTCCATCAGGTCCAGATGCACCTCTTCATGATCCAGCAGTGTGTGGCTAAAAGGGAAATTACTGATGTCCAGCACGCCCGTATTCGATGATGAAGAAAGAGGATAAGTACTGTGTGAACTCCTCTTCACAGGAAGGCAGACTTAGAAACAGCCTTCAGTAGCCACTGCTCTATAGCATACAGAGAAGGAAAACTACATTACTGATTCCTGCCTATGTGCAACGATATCCCATTGATCTCCCCAATTCTCCTACGTTTTGCTTTCTGATTCCCATTGTAGACGTTCTTTCCTCAGGATGAGGGACGGGGAGTTCCTCTGCTTTATACAAAGGAAGCCAATAGATTACTGGAAAAGTAGGAAAAATTATTTAGCCAGGAATAAAAATCTAGTAAAATCACTGATGCCAAGCATTGCCATTAATAACAAAGGAGCATGGTGTAAATGTCCCTATATATAGTCACTTGCAGCTTTCAGCCACTTGTCTCTGTATTTTTGTATATTTATGTGTTTTTCTGAGTTGTTATACTTGAGCACGTGAGCTATTAAATATTTTTTTGTGTGTGTTTGTTTTGAACTATAACCTATAGTCTAGCCTACCCCAGGCCTTCTAATTTTATGCTTTGTAAACACAAGACTTGTGGGTAGAAAGAGATGAGCATGTTCTGGGAACTGACAGAAGACCAGTGTACCCCTGAGCCTGATGGAGGGGAGTTGATGCTGAAGAGGTGCACAGAGTCCAAATCCTGCTGGACCTTGGTGGGCAAGCAGGAGGCCGGAGGTTGGCTTTTCTTCTGAGTGCATGTGAAGACATTAATTGGTTTTAAGCAGGGGAGTGACAGGATCAGATTTATGTTTATGAGATAAGTTTGGCTGCTGTGTGGGAAATGGATTGGAGGGGCCAAACACAGAAGTAGGGAGATTAGCGTATAGATTCTTATCTTGCAAGTGACTTGCTATGATGGGCCCCCCTAGTAGCAGTGGAGTCGGAGAAAAATGGAAAAAATGGAGATATCTTTTGGAGGTTGAGTCAAAAGACTTGGGAGGACCAGGTTTGTGGAGAAAAGTCAGGAGGTCCATTTTGGACAAGTTAATTTTGAGATACTTAAGCAGGTCCAGGCTGGAGGGATAAATCTAGAAACCATCAACAAAGAGATTTGTTTAAACCATGAGGATGGGTGCTGTCACCTGGGGAGAGAGTGCAGACAGGCTGTTGCTAGCGACTTTTCTTTGCATCCATGCCTCTGCTTAGTGAAATCTTAAAACTTTAAGATGTAACTCAGATTTCATTGCTTTTGACGCTCTAGGATGAGTCTGTGTTGTTAGCTCCTTCCTTTGTTTATGTAACCCCTTTGTATTATGTCACTGTTCGCGTTGTGTTTCTGTAACCCCTTTGTATTATGTCACTGTTCGCGTTGTGTTTCTGTAACCCCTTTGTATTATGTCACTGTTCGCGTTGTGTTTCTGTAACCCCTTTGTATTATGTCACTGTTCGCGTTGTGTTTATGTGCTTATTCCCCATCCCCCTTTGCCTCCTAAGTTTCTCAAGGACCAATCGGTTTCCAGCGTTCAGTAACTTACTGTGCATAGTTGGCCTCTAATTAGTGTTTTGTTAAATAAGTGTTTGAGATAATATAAATTCCAGGTGCAAATTATTGTAATTAAGTTTTTATCTCATAAATTCAAATAGTATTTCAGGAAGTTACACATTTTAACCGTCATATAACTTTGAATTTTCCAGCCATCAGTGATCTCAGTGTGATCTTTGTTGTTAGTAATATCTTCATTTGTATACTATTTTATTTTTAATTAAGCACATTATTTTACATTCACTTGATCTATATATAACCTCTTGGTTTGAATTGGGCAGGAATTATCCTCACCATTTTTTATAGATAGAGAACTGAGGTTGAGAGAGTCACTTATCTCTGGACACGTTTGGGACTTGAACCCTTGTCTTCTCACTGTGGTTTCTACCACACTATACTGCCTTTCCTGTGTATCATTAGACTTTTGAAAAATCAATTGCTTGTGGTATGTTATCTGCGTGTGCACTCCTTACTTAAATCGATGCTTCCTTCTGTTACTGTAATGGGATTTCACAACTGGGCAAGACACCTCAGATGTCCTTTAGTCCTAAGGTCCTAGTGAGTGAGGCCTGGAGAGGTGACATGGCTCATCCACAGTTATCCAGCTAGCTGTTCTGTGGTAGCACCATTCTAGACCAGAATCCGCGTCTCCTCATTCTAGCCCAGTGGACTTCTCCCTTCCTGCCCCCTCCTTTTTTTTCCATTTGATGTTCTTAACATAAATGAGGTCTTTAGGTTTTATAGCAATTTTGAGAATTAAGTGAAGATTATTAAAATCCAGGGCATGCGATCACTGAAACTTATTTAGCAGCACATTGTTTTCCTGTTGTCAGTGTGTGTATGTGTATTATTTTTTTTCTCTTTTCAATAGTTCATCTCACCAGTATGGCTAAATTTAAAGTCAAGTCCACGTTATGCCTTGAACCACTTATTTAACATTTATAAATGAAATACACGCACAGTTCTCTTAGTATTTCATACCTGTTTGGCTCTACATTTCCTTCCCTGGAGATCAACCCTCCAAGGACTAGCCTGGCCGATTTCAGCTGATTCAGAGGGGAGAAAGAATTACTTAAACATTTTTTAGTTCTGTTCTGCTTTCAGCCTGAAGATCCAGTACCAAATATGACAGTATCTGTCATTTGAGGCTACGAGACTCTCATGTAAGAGTACAGTTCTGTTTCCGTAAGCTGACTACTGCCCTACAGTAACCTTCAGCTCTTGGCAGCATAGTCTGGATTTGAACCAACGACCTTGAAATAAAGGGCACCAGATAATATGATTAGTCCCCATGCTCTCACAATTCCCTTACTTAAGCAATTAACATCCAAAGCAAGATGCTTAGTAACTCCACTTCCACATAGAGGCACAAATGGAGGACTTATTTTTTTAAGCTAGTCACAAGTTGTGAACCAAAGAGTTTAAGAAAAGAATGTAATTTGTCTATTTCTTAATGATTGGGAACTATCTCAGCTTTCCCTGAAATCGCCTCCCATTCTGTACCTTCCTTTACGCACTATGACCATATTCTGCCCTCTGCCACTACTTGTCTTTTGCGAATGCAAAAATTGTGACAGTCGTCTCCATGTTTCCCACAATACCTGGGACAGATTTTCTGTGCATAATAGGTTATTAATAAGTGTTAATTGTATGAATGAAATTTATTTTTAATGAAAGAAAAACACGTTAGCTGCAATTCCTATGATAAGAAAGCTTAGAAACTTATCACTGAAAATTGAAATGAAAGAATTAGCTTTTCAGACATGGTTTGTTTATGAATTTCGTGTTTGAATACAGGGCAGAATCTAGACAGTATGCTCCATGGTACTGGGGTGAAGTCAGACCCCGAGCAGAAGAAGTCAGAAAATGGAGCGACTGTGGCCCCGGAGGACACCTTGCCTTTCTTAAAGTGCTATTGCTCAGGACACTGCCCAGATGATGCTATTAATAACACGTGCATGTGAGTATTTGATGCAGCCCTTCTTGAAGCTCTGAGAAAAGGATTGCATTTAGTACTATTTTAAGAATTGTTTACATTGTCAAAGTTTTTGTTTTTTTCTTTATATGGTATCTTTCCAAAGGGCCAAAAAGCTGCTTCTTCTGTATATAGGAACATTTATTACTCTTAAGTGATTGATGGTTACTTTCTTAGAGTAACACTGTAATTTAGCTTTTTAGAGGAGATAAAAGGAATCTGGTATTTGTCTAACATTTTAAGTTTATTTAATGATCTTTTTAGCAGGAAGTTATTGATACTCGTTGTAGAAAACTTAGATTACCGAAACCATGAAAATTCATAATTTTCCTCATAATTCTAAATTGGTTGAATATCTATATTGGTTGAATAAATTGGTTGAAATATCCTCATAATCCTAAACCTCATAATTCTAAATTGGTTGAAATATTTTACAGATATACAAGAATGATGTTGTGATATTTAATTTTATTTTCTTACAAATGAACTCTCCAGTTCAAATCTGATTTATATAACCATTTTAATTTTCCTACTTAATTTTCTGTTAGCTGTTCAACACATAAATTCTATTCCATATCCTTTGGGGACATTGAGGAATTAGCCAAAAAAATTCCCCAAACAACTCAATCTTAACAGTCAGTTAATTGTCTCCCTGTTATAAAGGTAGTAGTATCTTGTTTTATACTTTTCTAATAAGTTTATGCTCTTTGACTGTGACCAGATATAAAGCAAAAAAGTATTATACATGTAAAATTTTGAAAGTATATGGTGGTTCATCACATCTTAGATTTGTTGTTTTCCTCTGGTACAGTTGACTTTATTGTGACAGACTGGCTGATCTGTCATGGGGTGTGCTCCCCACTATGTCACCAGGTAATTTCTTGCTGAACTTCTTGTCATAGTGCCTGCCTGATACGTGTGGGCTGTTTGTCGGTGGCTTAGCAGCCCAGAGTAAAACTGTATCATCAATTTTAGCAGAATTTCGCCCCACACTTAACGTTTTCTCTTTATAGAAAATGATTAATTCTGCAAGATTCTTTTAAGTAGAAGCAATACACTTCCTGATATGAATAAGTAGGAGCACAAAAAAGATTTTAGAAGCTTCTTCCTCCCCATTAAAGTCTAAATGAACATATTAGGGGAAAACTCCAGGATATCAGTACTAAAATGATAAAATTTCCTTAAATATAAATACATTTATGTTAATGTCTTGAAAATCTAGCTTTTCAAAAGTTCTCCCTTTTTCCTAGGTAAAGTGCCTCTCAGGATCTTAGTCAGTCTGTTCTTCCCAAATATTCTTTTCTTTGTCATTGAGTCTGTTTTTATGTTTCATACAAACGTTTTTTATTATTATGTACAGTATGTGAATACTGAAAATCTTAGGGATAAAGAGAGGCAGTTATTTTTAAGTATATTTTTTAAACATTAAGATTATTTACATTATAAAGTTTTACAGATCAGCTTTCTGTGATCACGTGACTGATTAACAAAGAAAAGTTACAAAATAATTCATGTTTGGAGAACTTGTTTAAGAGAAATCCTTTTCCACTTGCTTTCAGGTTCTTATTGGACCTTTAGGTTTTAGTTCAGACATGACAACTTTCATTTGCCTTAAAACCCATATGGTTTTGCCAATAAATCACACACAAATGTAATTCTGATTCAAAAAACAAAGTACTAAAAGCCATCAGTACCTGGTCACATTCATACTGAGATTTAATTAGTACTTTCTGATGTGAATTTATGTTTTTCGGAATTTTTTCTTTTAGAACTAATGGGCATTGCTTTGCTATCATAGAAGAAGATGACCAGGGAGAAACCACATTAGCTTCGGGGTGTATGAAATATGAAGGGTCTGATTTTCAGTGCAAGGTAAGGTCGAATGTAAGGCCTGTGGAGTGAAGCAGGGAGGGGCCACATGAAAACCACCCACCTCCCCAGGAGAAGTGCGCCTGCTCTGCACATCGCTGTGTGTTCTTGTGAGCAGACATACTGGGGAATTACCTCTTTCTTCAAGTAATCTCATTGTGGTACTAGAAGTTCCAGATTATTTTACTTTTAAACATCATCCTGTTTCTAAATTGTCATGACTGAGAAAACTTATTTGTGGATCATAAAATTGACTGAAAAGACTTCATGGTGATGGGCAATGATGTTTGCCTCGCTCTGAGACGACTCAGAAACCTTCAGTCCTTGTAAGGAGATCTCAGTGGAGTTACTTTAACAGTCGCGGTAAAGGCATCAGAGGATCAGTAATAAAGAGTTTCTGAACATCTTAACAGCCCTGGGTTTAAACCTAATCTCTTCAAAATCCCACATAGTACTTTTGCCGCAGGGGGGCCTTCCAGTGTTCTTGAAAAGCGGCTTTAGATAGAACTGTTGATATACAGATTTAAGCCTTGGCTATTTTAGAAAATTATTCAAATTACTAAGAAATTCTTAGAATTGATAGAAACCTGAAAGGTTACATGTTTCAACCTCTTGGCTAATGTTTGGAATCCTCCCCACGTTTGTCTCCCAGCACACACATATATTACAGCCTGTCGATTTTCTCTGTGCCACATCTTTCTAGTGATGGGCCCATTACCTCCCAAGACCACCTGTTTCATCTGTAGCAAAGATCTGGCCTGACCCGTAGAAAGCTCCTCCTCCCGGTGCCTCCAGGTCTCTCTTCCCTTCTGCCTCTCTGGACCGTAGGGAACAAATCTAATCCCTCTTAAATATGACAGCCCTTTACTGTGTGAGGAACGTCTTTTGTCCTGCTTTCATCCCCATACCCTCTAGTCTTTGCCCACTGGAAATATAGCTGACAGTGACCTCAACTGCTCCTTATATGAACAACTTTTAGAGTTACTCTCCAGTTTTTCCCTGTAATATGCAAATTTGAGTGTGGTCTGACCAGGAGAAAAGCAGAGTAAATAACTCCTTTCCCTTTTTCTAAATACAGCCAGATCTCCTGTTAGATGTTTGATTGTCACACCGCGCTCTTGAAACATACCGAGCTTTCTGTCAGCCGGAACCCCGTCTTTCACTCATGCTCCTGTGGGCTGCATCTCCTCATTCTTTATTGGTGCTGTTGGCTTCTTGACACCAATAAGGAGACAGGAATGGGATGAGTTTTGTTATGCAGTTATCCTGTACTTGTCCATGTTAGATTTCATCATGTTAGAATTCGTCCTTTGCTCTAATTTGTCAAGATTTAGAGGGACGCTAATTTGGTTGTTTCTTCCAGTTTTATGCTGTTTGCATATTTATCAACCACAAACGCCATACATTTTTTAATCACTTACAAGTTATTGAAGAGAACTACACTTAGGGCACTGAGCTCAGCAGTAGTAACCAAGGTCTTGCAGGCCGTCTAACCAGGAGTATCTCAAACTGAGTTCACCAATGTAAGTTAGTTGTGAAGCTTGACAGTCTGTGTTCAGATCCGTGTGCTGCCGCCTGCTAACTGAAACTTGGGGCGAGGAGCTTTGCTCTCTTAGGTTGCTTTCTCATCTGTGAGGTTGTTCTAAGGATCAGATGAGAGAGCACACAAGTAAGGAGGTTAGCACAATGGGCAAATGTAAAGGCTTGATAAATGGAGGTTTTACCACATTGCTCATGTAACAGAGCAGGCTCCGAGCTGGGTTGTGCATATCCCTGTGTGTGCACAGACTCTTACACAAGGATCACATAGCGCCTGGGGGGTTCTGAGGGATCACTTTACAGATCCTAGACTTCCTTAGGTCCTAGTGCTTAATATTGATCTGCCTGAGAACACAGCTTCTCAAGCAGTTGCTCTTTTCCTTCCTCTCTTTTCACAATCACCCTTCTCACAGTTTACAGATCAAAGGGCTGGAATGTAAAACCTCAAATTTCCGGAAAATGTTACAATTTGAACTCTGTCATTGTGGGAGATGTGGGGATATCAAAGATGTTTGCATGTCAAGTGCTTTTCAGGTTTTTGCTTTCAACCAAATTGCTAGATCGTTGAAAATAATTTTTGTTAATAGGATCATTATGGGAGTTTTAGCTTATGATTGGAAGATCTTTAAAGAATTATGGGACAAGGGTGTAACAAACTCCTTTCGCTATCATCTTATTGTTTATGTGAACAAAGTATCTTAGTACTGACCCAAAAAAAAGGAAAAAAGAAAAATAGGGGGGCTGGCCCTGTGGCCAAGTGGTTAGGTTCACGCACTCCACTCCGGCGGCCCAGGGTTTTGCTGGTTCAGATCCTGGGCCCAGACATGGCACTGCTCGTCAGGCCACACAGAGGTGGTGTCCCACAACTAGAAGGACCCAGAACTAAAATAAACAACGATGTACTGGGGGGGTTTGGGGAGAAAAAGCAAAAAGAAAAAAAAAGGAAAAGGAATAAAATTAATGCCAAGCCTTCTCATTCTAGCAATAAGTACTATTTATCCATGAATTTATTAACTAATTTTTTAAAGTCCTAGCCATCTTGTACCTTTGCATAAAATGTTCTTTTTATGTTAGTATTTTAATAAAGATTATAATATGTACATTGTTTTGATCAATTTTATACTAAATGTGATAACTCAAACCAGAATAATTTTTTAAGACATTGTCACAGGAAATAAGATACATTAATTTATGTTTATATATATTTATTTTTGTGGAGAATTATATATCAAAATATATTACATTAGGGCATAATTGTTGTGGGAGACATGGAAAGGAAATAGGAGTTCAAGGAGAAAAAGATAACACTAAAATTTTCAGTTGTTAAGCATTCATTCATTCATTTTTGTAAAGTAATGATAATGGGTGTCAAAATGCTGTGTTATTTAGATTCTACTGAATAGATTTAAGAATGATGTGACACTAAAAAAAAAGTCATTATGTACAGTAAACCAGGAATTATCAATACATTCTATTATGGTAAAAACAATTCAAGTGTCAGCCTAAAAATATATGGGGAGATACGTTGTTTTTCAGAATTCTTTTAGGGGTTACACAAGCGAAAAATGTTGACCATCACTTCCCTAACCTTCTGTGTATCTTGCAAAGATCACTGCCCATGTACCCAGCACCCAGCCTGGGGTGAACAGCTCTTGCACTTGTACCCTAAGCCTTCTCCCCCCAGCGCTTTCACATATTGCCAGGTTTCAAGGAAAACTGGTTCAAGTGATAATCACCGTGCTGCGCCCAGACCTTCATTCCCCCTGCCAGTCTCTGCTGGTAAATCTAGCTTATTCTGTTTCTTCCTGTAGAATGAATTATTTCTCAGAAACCACGCTCCATTCCTTGTAATTTGGCTTCAGTTCCTTCCCCATGTACCACTCTCTTCTCCCCCAGTTTCCCGCCCCAGCTCGCTAAAGAAGTTTAAGTCAGAATCTCCTATTTCATGAATGCCAAGTGAGTTTTTCCCCACAAGCATTCCTATTGCCCACATAAATCTGGAGACACAAATGGACTTGGGCAGAGGATGGGAGTGGGGAGTGGGGACCAGGAAAGTTTGTGTCACCTTCGTAATCTAGACGCATCTGACTTTTACCTACCCAGTTAACCTGCATAGGAAGGACGTGAGGTGAGTCTGACGTTGCTGGTTCTTGGGGAGGCCACATTGAGTCTTCTAGGGGTTTATAAGCATTTTTGGCTTGTTCTGTAATCTTGGCTGGGATCCGTGTCAAGTTCACTAGAGGAGGAAGAATTATTTTATTGAATATTTACCATTTGCTTTTAATGTGCTAGGTACTTGGTATATTGTACCTCATTTTCTCCCAGTTACCCCACCTGGCGGGTATTTTTTTATCCTCCATTTTATAGCAGAGGAAACTGAAGCCCAGAGAGGAGTAAGTTCATTGTTCAGGGTCGCCAAGTTAGTAAGTGGCAAAGCGAGGATTTAAGCTATTGATTCCAAAGGACTTGCTTTTTGCATAAGACTATGCTGCCTCCGGTCTGTTGTTGCCACAGTCAAATTTCTTTCCCTTTTCAAGAAAAGTAATATAACATGTAGGTATCTCGTTTCCAGCACTGCTTGTGTCTGAAATCTTTAGATCATACCTTTCAGCCCTCTCACAAGTGCTCTCATCTTCCTGGGATGTAATTCCCCTGGGTCAGAAAATATGCACTCACAGAGTACAGAAACGCTGTAGGGTCTCTTCCTACACCTGGGGTGTCGGTTCCCACTTGCTGGTGTCTGATCTGCCTTCATTCCTGTAATCTTCCTTGACGGAGAAGACTGGAACAAAACAGGAGTTGAATAATTGTACATTTTCTTTGTCCTGCATTACCTGCTGTTTGTCAGCAAGCCACCCATGGCTGGGTGGTCTTCCAGCACTGCCAAAGAAATCCTTTCTTGGTTTTCTTCACATTTTCTCTTTCTCAGGGCTAAGCTCGTTTTGAACTTAGCCTTCCTGAAAGGATGCTTCGCGCTTTTTTTGTTCATCTTTAGTTACACACTTTCGTCCCATCTTTCGCGTGTGTTTTCTCTAGATCTGGGATTATTTGAGAGTCACCTGTGTAACTCCCAACATATCTTTCTTTTCTCTTTCTCTCTATGGTCATTTAAAAGTAAAAATTGTTAATTCAGTTAAAAAGTAAAACGTACTTTTGGAGGTTTCCAAATACTCCTGACCCATCTTCCTTGATAGAATCTCAAGTCGTGGACTCGTGTTCACCTTTTTAAAGTAATACCTGATTATACTGAGGTTTTCCCTTTCTGGCCATCTGATATTTAAGAATAACACAGTCAGTTTCTGCTTATGTTCTTGCTACTTCTACAATGACAAACAATTCCTTTCTGTTACTATTTTGGTCCTGGATGGCACTTCTCCCAGGCACTGCTGAAATGTCATCATTCAAGTTAAGGACTTGTCAAATATGGTACTATTAATCAAATAAACCTTCACACATAATTGTTGATACCTGTTCCCGTGACTACAAACTTTTTCTCGTCTGTTAGGGACACATCTCCCATCTGGCTGGTGGTCTCTAAAAACGTCTCAGGAATACTGTTTCTATATTTTGCCCTTATCCTCACCCAGTATGCTTCAACTTGCTTCATCGTTGGGTTCATTAGTTTCAACTCTGCTATTATATGCAGAATCTACAGTATCTTCTACCTGCTTGACCTCCTTTCCTAACCCGTCTCTTCTTCAGACTAGGACATCCTCCACGTTTTCGTCTGAGCTAAAGTCTCCTCCTTCTAAGTTTCAGTACTACTACGAGATCGTATTTACCCTACTAGCTTATCATTGTAATAAAATGTATTACCGTGTTTTTTAGGAAGAGATCTCATGACTTTAATTTCTATTTTACTAAAAACAAGTGAATAGTAGTATATTGAGATGTGTCAGTGTTTTGATGAAAAATACTTAGAAACTTTTATCTATAGTTAAGTTAAAGTTTAGTGTTCTAGCACACCATCACAAACATATGTTCTCTGTAAGAAAAACCATTTTACGGTCTTCAAAACACTATTTCAGCACAAATTCTAATTTTTCAGTAATCTTTTTTTTTACACCTAAAATTTGCAAGTCCTTTTCACTCACTGAATTAGAAATTGTGTTTTATGAATATTTTAAAACTTCGTTATAAATCAAATATATCAGACTCTTTCTAATTTTGTCCTTATGCCTCCTCCAGGATTCACCAAAAGCCCAGCTACGCCGGACAATAGAATGTTGTCGGACCAATCTGTGTAACCAGTATTTGCAGCCTACACTGCCCCCTGTCGTCATAGGTAGGTGAGCTGAGAAAAGCGTGATAGTGATTCTCAGTAAAGTAGTTCCTCTGGTTTTAACAATAAGCAAACTTTCTAGAATTTAGCACTACAAATTATTTTTTCCTTTTAAGATGTGATAGAAAGATAATATGTTTCCTTGGTTGTTTGCTTCCGTTGTCAGGCCCATTTTTCGACGGCAGCATTCGATGGCTGGTCGTGCTCATCTCTATGGCTGTCTGCATAATCGCTATGATCATCTTCTCCAGCTGCTTTTGTTACAAGTAAGAAGATAATTATTTTGATGCAGAATATTGTGTTGGATATTGGATGTAAACAGTTGTTCTTAAAGCCAGTGGGCAGAAACCATTGACCACTGAATGTGTTTCAGAAACCATCAGCTTATTTTCTCTGATTATATCTCATTTAATTAACTAGATTATAATTTTCTTAAGGGAAAAGAGAACTTTACTGCCTGTCAGTTGATTAGACAACTTGATACTTCTTGTTTTGTTCATGAGTGCTTATGATTTTCTTATTTATAGAATATTGAACTTTCTTATATCTGAATGTTTAAAACTTGTATCAGGAAACCAACTATATTATCATTTTTTAGTTATTTGGGCTTCAGAATTGTTTTCATTTAGTCATGATTTCAGAAGGTAGTTGCCTTCGTAAACTTCAGTGATAGAAAATTCTCTTAAACTGCAATAATAGAACATCTCACTGGCATATGAATAGACAGGTCAGTGGAACAGGTTACCCGACCCGTAAGTAGACCCAAGTATATAAATAAATTTAGTATTTGATGAAGGTAACATTTCAGATCACTGAGGAAAAGATGGATTATTCAGTAAGTGGATTTGGGAGTAGGTAGCTATATGGGAAAAAATGAAGTTGAATCAATTTCCTACAGTGAAATAAATTTTAGCCAGATTGGAGCTAGATATGTATAAAAGGAAATGATTAGAGTATTGGAACAAACCATGGAAGAATTTTTAAAAATAATCTCAGAACGTGCAAGACCTTTCTGAGTCTGTCACAAACCTTAGAAGAAAAAAAAAAAAAAAAAAGGCGACAAACACCAAAACCTTAAAATTAAAAAAGAAAGGATTGACAATGTCAACTATATAAAGATAAAACATTACTCTGTGGCAGAAACCGCCATAAATGGTCAGAAGACAGACTAACAGTGTAAAAATATTGTCAGCTCATGTTACAAAGAGCTGATTTCTTGAATATAGAGAGCTCTTGTAAATCAAAAAAAAAAAATCTAGGGCCTGGCCCCGTGGCCGAGCGGTTAAGTTCACACATACGGCTTTGGCTACCCAGGGTTTCGCCGGTTCAGATCCTGGGCGCGGACATGGCACCGCTCGTCAGGCCATGTTGGGGCAGCGTCCCACATGCCACAACTAGAAGGACCCACAACTGAAAATACACAGCTATGTACTGGGGGGGGTTGGGGGAGAAAAAAGCAGAAAAAACAAAAGAAAAAAATCTAGCAATTTAGTGGGAAAATAGGCCCTCCAAAAATTAACGCGTAATTTATCTAAAAAGAACTACATATAGCTCTTAAAAGAAAAATAAAAAGATGACTCAAGAATACTCATAATATGAAAAATATAAATTAAAATCATACCTGAGATATTGTTTTTCGCCTATTATACTGGCAAATTTTCAAATGTTTGATAAACAGGTCTTTTCAATAAAGAGGCAGATTTGAACATACTTATTACTTTTACTGCCCCCACTGAAAGAGCAATAAAGAGTTTTTAACTTCTTTGTCCAGCTAGGACAGGGAGAACAAGAGATAAGAAAACAGGAAAAAGCTTTGGAGTCTGTGAAGCTTTTGAATGTAGTAAGTGACTTCATACACCTAAAAAATCTGATCCTAGGCTAGACATTGAGAATGCCAAAAACCAGCAGTTTATACTATAGGATTCCCCAAGAAGCTCAGAAGTTGGCAGTACCAGTTATCTCTGTAAGTGGAGTTGAAGGTGGTGTTAAAACCAAGAGGATTGCTGGAAAGTCTATTTTTAGGGAGTCAGATGCTGTGTTTGTTACGCAATAGTGCTTTAAGAAATCACTCCCGAGCTTAGTGGCTTCAAACAGCAGTTATTATCTCTGACTGCCTCTGTAGGTCAGGAATTCAGGAGTGACCTGACTGGGTGGCTCAGGGTCGTTCCTGACATCCAGTCAGATGTCAGCAGGGGCTGCGCTCCCCTGCAGGCTTGGCGGGAGCTGGTAGATCACCTCCCAAGATAGCTCACTTCTGAGGCGCATAAGTTGACGGGAGGCCTTAGTTCCTCTACGTGAGCCTCTCTGCAGAGCTGCTGCAGTGTCCTTGCAGCATGAAGCCTGGCTCCCCCGCCAGAGAGAGTGAGCCAGGAGCCTGAGGTGGAAGCTGCAGTGCTGTTTATGGTCTACACCATCACTTCGCCGTGTTCTGTTGGTCACACAGGTCAGCCCTAAAGCATTAGGGAAGGGAACTAAACAAGGACATGCATACCAGGAGGTGAGGACCTTTGTGGGCCATTTCAGATGCCAAGTACCACAGATACTGAGATCCCTACTCCTACTCTGAATGATCACATGACTTCCCCACCATCTCCCTAACAGAAGGCTACAAGTGTTTTCTCTGGAAAGAGCAAAAATAAGGTTCTCAGCAGTGGTATCCCATTATTGAAGGTGGCGTATCATAGTGAAAACAAGGAGGTAAAGTGAATAATATTTACATATTGATGGGCCCCTCAGCCCTCCCAGAACCCTGCCAGCCAGGCTTATTCCCTCTAGACAATAGCTAGGAAGTCTTCCTGTGGAAATCCCTCCGGCCCAGGAGAAAAGACCTAAACAGGCTGACCCCAGTGAGCCCAGTGAAGTGGCCAGGCAGATGGTCTTACAGTGGAGGCTGGAATCAGTAAGCCCCACTCACACCCCAACAGCTGCCAGCTAGGCAGTGAGGACACTGATCCCTGAGAGCCAGGGAACCAGTGAGGCGAGGCTGTGCTTGCCTGCTCACCGGCTGAAGGGTTTCTGGCTGCAGAACACAGGAGGAACCCGGATGTGGCCCAGCAGGCTCTGAATCAAGGAGGTATGGCCGAGAGTCTAGGCAGCAAGCAGCAGCCGCAGTTCACAGAACCGAGTGCTGGAGAGTAGAGACCTGCACAGAGGAGGAGGTCCAGATATCTGCACAGGGTTCCCATCCAGTGTTCAGCGAATCTCTATCAGCACATACAAGTGAGGGAGCTGCCGATGGCTGAGTGATTGATACCGAACGCCTGAAAAGACTGAAGGAAACGGTATTCGGTACTCACCCAAGGTTGGAAATAGTGTCTGTTCCCACCAGCTCTGAGAGTTGAAAGCCTCGTAATTCACAGGGCTTTGGTTAGAGTACTCAAAAGGGTCTTGCCTCAGTATTGGGCAGTAATCCGCCCTAGATGAAGCATGGCTGTGGTCCCACCCCAAAAGCAAGTCCCAAAAAGATCCTTCTCTTCCACGTAGCTGCATCGTAGAACAAAGCTCAAGAATATTTATAGGAACACAGAAATACTCAGCACCCAACAAGGTAAAATTCACAATACCTCCCATCCAATCAGTGATTACCAGGTATGCGGAAAGTAGGGAAATACAACCAGTAATGAGGAATCAAAACCACCAACTCAGAACTGTATAGATTTTAGAATTAGCAGAGAAGGGCACTAAAACAGTTATTACAACTGTATTTTCATATGACCAAAAAGTTAAATGAGACATGCAAGATATAAAGAAGACCCAAATCAAACTTCAGGACACAAAATCTGTAATATCTGAGATGAAATATACACTGGATGAGAGTAGTGGCAGGTTAGACACTGTAGAAGAAAAGAAAAGTGAACATGAAGATGTAACAATAGAAACTAAACAGACTAAAACATTAAGAACTTAAAAGATGAATTGAGCACCAGTGAGCTGTGGGATTTCAGGCAAGCCTAATGTATATATATATAGTTGGAGTTTCCAAAGGAGAGAAGAGGAGGGAACAGAAAAAACATATTTTAAGAAATAATGACCAAAATGTTTCCAAATCTAATGAAAGCCCAGCAAACCCTAAGTATAAGAAACACAAAGAAAACTACAGCAAAGCACATTGTTATCAACTTGCTCAAAACCAATGATAAAGAAAAAAGTCTTAAATGCAGCCAGAGAAAAATGGCAGATTATATACAGAGGAAGAAAGATAAGGATGGTAGCCAACTTTTCATGGGAATCAGTGCGAGCAAGAATATAGCGGAGCAGCATCTTTATAAAGTACTCAAAGGAGAAAGTTATGAACCTGGAATCTGTACTCAGAGAAAATATTTTTCGAAGATGAAGGGGAAATAAACACTTTGAGACATAAAAGCCCTTGAAAGAATTCGTCATCAGCAGATCTGCGCCACAAGAAATGTTAAAGGAAGTTCTTCAAGTAGAAGGAAAATCATGCCAGGTGGAAATATGAAGCTACACGGAAGAGTGAACAGCCCTGGAAATGGAGGTCAAGGCAACCCCAGCACAAACCAACAGTGTTTTTTAAGATCAGCCGAAAAGAACACTCGTCTCAGAATCAAGCTATGGGATACTCAAGTGTGTGACCTAGAGCAGTTCACGAGACACGCAGACACCACAAACTGTTCATTTAGGTTCTTTTTGTAGTTTTAAACTAAATATTACAGAGAACGTCATGCCTGCCCTGTTTATTTAGCTTTTGAGTTTTATGTACGAGGTTTATTTGCTTGAAAATCCATTATGGATCAGATTTACAAGATTAGTAATTTGGGGGAGTTTACATTTAGCTTGACTTTAACAAGATACAAATTGCTATCTGTAGCAAGCCATAAAAGGATAAGATTAATGTGTATCTTCCCGCATATCAAGGTTGGTATCTTTTATGTGTCTCGTTAATATTGTTTCCCTTTTTTTTGGGGGGGGGAAGATTAGCCCTGAGCTAACTGTTGCCAATACTCCTCTTTTTTCTGAGGAAGACTGACCCTGAGCCAACATCCGTGCCCATCTTCCTCTACTTTATATGTGGGACGCCTACCACAGCATAGCTTGCCAAGCAGTGCCATGTCTGCACCCGGGATCCAAACCAGCGAACCCCGGGCCGCTGAAGCGGAATGTGCATGCTTAACCACTGTGCCACTGAGCCAGCCCCTCACTTTTTTTCTGATGATTGTTTTCTTCCAGTCTAGACATATTTACAAATTTATTCTTCTTGAATCTGATTTATATTCATGATTACATGGCCCTCAAAATCAATACCTTC